ACTCCTTGTCCTTGGTGCAGTTGGGGCATAACATTGAAAAAGTACGAGAAAAAATGCGTGACCTGATGAAGCAGATTATCCATGCATATTCAGTGGCAAAGACATATCCGTATATTTTGGAAGGTTTACGTTCCAAAAACAACCGGACAAGGATAGAGTGTACTGATCTCATTGGATATCTACTTGAGACTTGTGGAACTGAGGTAGTAGCGAGACTTGATCAATTATTTGACATTTCCATTCTGTTTGAATTCTAATATGCCCTTGTAAGCAGATAAGTGGACTACTGAAATACTTGAATATGGTTGCAAGCTTGACGGCAGAAAGAGATGGCGAACTCAGAAAAGCTGCTCTGAACACCATGGCTACTGGTTATAAAATTCTTGGTAGGGCATCAAAGTTATGAGCTTTTGTGAAGTTGTAGTGAATTCTTTTCAAAGTATGCCATGTCTTGCGGCGTTTAATGAACAATTATACATATTATCATACTATATTCTTTTAGCTCCTCTATGTTTTGAAAAAATCGGGATCAAAAATCATGATTCCAAAACGAATTTCGCTCTTGGTTGTTGTTGCCCTTGAGATAATTTTTGCTCTCTTTTCTCATTGGTTGGCTTGTTATTGCAGGTGAGGATATTTGGCGGTATGTTGGAAAGCTTACAGATGCTCAAAAGAGTATGCTTGATGATAGATTTAAGTGGAAAGTAAGTCCAAAATATGAACGATTGTACTGTTTCCGTCTTGTGTGAGTTTTATTTTCATCGCTTTGCCTGCACCAGATCAAAGAAATGGAGAAAAGAAAAGAAGGGAGACCTGGGGAAGCACGAGCAGCATTAAGACGTTCTGTTAGAGAAAATGGGTGCGTAATTTCGTTGAAATTTTGATATAACCTTACATTGCATTGCCTTTCCAGCATTAAGGAGTTCTGGTAGTGTTTATGTGTCCTCATCATTAGCAATATGCTGAAAGTGGAGGCCATAAACATAATCTTATAAATCCAAAGCTTAGTGTTTATTATCTCTATATTTATCGCTTTCTGTTTGTTTCCAGACCTGAAGTGGCAGAGCAAAGTGGTGACCTTTCTCAAATAGTCCCCGGTCCTTTATTTCCAAGGTAATTTTTTCGATTAGTATCTGGAAGTTTTTTCGGCATACATAAGTTTCTGGTGTTCATGCGGCTTCTTACACAACTCAATCTTTTTTGACCGCCAGGCAAAACTATGGTATTCCTGAACAAATTCTGGAGAGGAACCCAGTACCTCGGACAATTGCTGGAGTTAATGGCCCTACAGACTGGAATGAGGCTTTGGACATCATTATGTTTGGTTCTCCAGAGCAGGTATCTGGCTTCGTCTGGCCCGATCTTAGTATAAATTATTGGTTTGTCATGGAATATTTTTTCTCAATTTTGGGAAATATCAAAAATTACTGTTTTATACCATTATGGTAACTCTGTTATCTAGTCAGTAACAAAGACTGACTTGAGGTTCTTAGTAGTTAGCACCCGTGATATGTTTGTATTGGGTTTGATGGGAGGTTGAATGATACTTTGGTGATACGTATTTGAAGTGATCCTGCAAGTGTTGATTTGGTCTTTTATTTTTTTTTTCTTTGTGTGGCAGTCCGTTGAAGGGATGAAAGTTGTGTGTCATGAGTTGGCACAGGCTTCTAATGATCCAGAAGAGAGTGCAATTGATGAACTTGTGAAGGATGCAGATGGGCTTGTTTCATGCTTAGCAAATAAGGTTTGCCTGAGAAACTTTCTTTACACTTCCATTCAGATGAAGAACTATTTGCGATAGTAGTTTTTTGTTGACCATCACTTATATATATATATATATATATATGTTATTCTGGTAGGTTGCCAAGACATTTGACGTCAGCTTAATGGGTGCTTCATCGAGGTCTTGTAAATATGTATTGAACACACTTATGCAGGTAACACCAGTGCATTGATTTTCTTAGATATGTTGATCTTATCCATTAGCTGATTAACCACCGAGGTTTGTTTGTGAAGCTCACTACTCACATGTATATTTTGTTGCAGACATTCCAAAATAAAAAGCTTGCCCATGCAGTCAAAGAAGGGACTCTGGAAAGCCTTATAACAGAGCTCTTACTTTGGCTTCTGGATGAAAGAGTTCCACGCATGGAAGATGGCAGCCAGCTTCTGAAAGCTCTAAACGTTTTGATGCTGAAGATCCTGGTTAGATATTCTTCCCATGCTATGGAATTACTTCATACAGTATATGACTGACTATAAAATTCTCTGATGTTCTCACTTTTTGGTATTAAATTCAGGATAATGCTGATCGGACGTCATCGTTTGTGGTCCTTATTAGTTTGCTACGTCCTCTAGATCCATCTAGATGGCCTTCACCTGCTACGGCTGAAGTTTATGCTGTCCGGAATCAGAAATTCTCTGATTTGGTAGTTAAATGCCTAATTAAACTTACAAAGGTAAAATTTTAATGAAAGGTATTGTAGGACAATCGTTATTGGAATGACTTGCGTAGCTATAGAGTACCAGCCCTGCTGATCATTTTTCAACAGTGTTATATACTTTTTGGGGTTTTAATGTTAAGCTTTATATATTAACAAAAATTGGCTACAATCTAAACCTCATCCTGGCTCTAATAAGAGAGAAATCAAAATAGGAACTTTTGTGAGTTACATTTGTTCCACTTGTTGCAATGTACAACAAAAGTAAAATTCAAGGAGAGAAGGGCTTGAACGCGGATCCTTAGGAGGAAGCGAAATTAGGCGGTTCCAAAACAATCGATCAAGAGATGTGCATCATATAATTTGGTACTGTATATCTGATAATTGCTTGTCCATGTTCAGCTCCTCCAAAGCACGATATATGAAGTTGATCTTGATCGACTTCTTCAGAGCATCCATGTATATCTGCAAGATCTGGGAATGGAAGAGATACGTAGGAGGTACATCTCCTTGAGTGCACTCTTATGAATTTTGCAAATCTTAGTCTGTTGGTTATGTGGAGGATCGCGTACTCAACCTTACCAATTCGTTTTTGTTTTGTTCTGTGTTGATATTTTTCCCAATGAGAAGAGCTGGAGCAGATGATAAACCTCTGAGGATGGTGAAAACTGTTCTACATGAACTTGTCAAGCTCCGTGGAGCTGCAATAAAGGGACATTTGTCTCTTGTCCCTATTGACATGAGGCCACAACCCATCATTCTCGCTTACATCGATCTGAACCTTGAGGTAAACTCTTATTCTTTTAGGTTCCTGTCCAGGATTCCTGTCAAATGTGCTGATCCATGGTGAAATAATACATCGCAATTCCGTTTTGCAAGTGGGTTTCCTGGAATTTCTGAGAAATTTTAGATGGCATTGGTCGTAACCATCTCTATATGCTTTCTTTGATCCTACAGACTTTAGCTGCAGCGAGAATACTAACTGCAACAGGACCTGTGGGCCAAAACCATTGGACAGATTCAACAGGCAACAATCCCTCACCTCCCGCTAATTCTGCTGATGTTCAGTTGAAGCAAGAGCTTGGGGCCATCTTCAAGAAAATCGGTGATAAACAAACTTCCACCATTGGTCTTTACGACCTCTACCACATCACTAAGTCGTATCCGAAGGTAATTGATACGGTTTTGGATTTCAAGTCTCTGTTGTTCTTTATCATCACACATCCATTCGAGCCAGCTTCAAATGCAAACCCATTTCAATGCTTGTAGGTTGATATCTTCTCCCAACTTCAAAATGCTAGCGAAGCGTTTCGTACGTACATCAGAGACGGTTTGGCCCAGGTTTGTAACAAATATCACCGAAGCTTCTACAATAATTTCCTTTAAGACTCTTGAAGATTACGATGTTCTTTGGAAGCCGTTCACTAATCTCTTTATCATCTTGGAAATTGGTGTTTCAGGTGGAGAAGAATGCAGCTGCGGGAAGAACGCCTTCAAGCCTACCGTTGTCAACTCCTCCACCCTCTTCATTAGCTCATCCATCTCATGATATTCCTTCCGTAGACGCAAAGCCTCTGATGAACCCTAGACCTGATTCATACACCGACGACATCCGAGCCAGTAACATCAATCCTGGGACGCTAGACGCAATCAGAGAGAGGATGAGGAGCATGCAACTGGCTTCATCAGGAACGCTCGAGCCAGGAAGCAAACCGATGATGCCAACACACGATAACGTATCAAACGATAACATGTCAATGAACCAACAACCGACCATTTCTCCGAGCCAAATGGGACCAGAGGCACCGCACCCAGTGGTTCTCCCAATGGATGAGAAAGCATTGTCCGGTCTCCAGGCCCGAATGGAGAGGCTCAAAGGTGGTTCACTCGAACATATGTAGAAGAACCTCTCCAAAGCTTTTGGAGTCATAAAATTTACGAAGCAAATTATATTCGCCATTTTTGTTACTTTCTTTAATCTCCTATTAATGTAGTGGTGGTAGTGGTGGTAGTAAAGTACGTTTTTCTTTAATATATATGTGAGAGAAGAAGAAATATTTATGGCGAAAGTGGTATATCGTCTACATTTCCTTTGAGTTAGTGTGTATAGCGTGTGTGGGAGAGATTCTTTTAAGATGAGACAAAATATGATTCTTTCTTTCTTTGTTTTACAGTTTTATTTTTTCATGTGGAGTGATTTGTTCTGAGCTTTTGCAGCCTCCCGTAACTTGTTTCTTCTAGCGAGTTCCTCATGAAAAAACTATTAGTCGTCCCATGTTAAGAGAATACTGAGCAAAAAACTATTAGTTGTCACCTATCATCATGTGAGAGAGAGCTAATCATATAAATTAGGAAAACATAATTGGGCCTACAAAGTCAGAATTATAAATGATAAAAGTTGGCGTAGGCCTAACGCTTACCCAAAGACCGACCCTTTTAAGTCTTAACTTAGTGGATATATATAATATAATAAATTCCATATAGACACACATATATACATACGATCCGAAAGAGAGAAAGACAAAGGAGAGGATTTTAATATTCGCGGCGAAAAAAAAGATGCAGATCTTCGTCAAAACCCTCACCGGAAAAACTATAACCCTAGAGGTTGAGAGCAGCGACACCATCGACAATGTCAAAGCCAAAATCCAGGTATATTCTCTCGCTTAATTAGGGCTTCTTTTCCTCTGTATCCCTGAATTACATGTCAACTATTGTTTACTTCGTCTGAATTTCTTTGATTGAATAGTTTAATCGATTCATAGATGCGCAACGAACCTGAATTTTGGGTTGCTGTGATTTCTACTTGTTCTTACCCGGATTATCCGTCTGTGTTAATATTATGGAGCTGTTGGTTTCATGAGCGATCTGATATATGGTTCTTGAATTGTAAATTAAAGAGTTGTTTCGAGCAAAAGTCTGTTTGTGTAACTTTGAAGGATCTAGTAGGCGATTTGAATTGCTTGAGGGTATCTAAAAATCCACTAGATTTACGATGTATTCATTGTGCTGAATCTAAGCTCTGCTTATGATGATGATCTTTGTGGAAATATTTATGGTTTACTGTATTGTAATATTGATTTTTCTCTACTATCAATGTTGAACAGGACAAAGAAGGTATACCACCAGATCAGCAAAGGCTGATATTTGCCGGGAAGCAACTGGAGGATGGACGAACACTGGCGGATTACAACATCCAGAAAGAGTCTACTCTTCATCTGGTCTTGAGGCTCAGAGGTGGAACCATGATAAAGGTGAAGACACTCACTGGAAAAGAAATCGAGATTGATATCGAACCCACCGACACTATTGATCGGATCAAGGAACGTGTCGAAGAGAAAGAAGGCATCCCTCCTGTACAACAAAGGTTAGTAATATCCACTTCTTCTCTTTTATGACTTGGTGAAATTGTTTGCAGCATATATATTGCTTGCATATATGTCACAGTAAAGAAACACTTCGTTTGCGTTATTGAAAAACTTTGGGTCTTGTTGGATTCTAACTCAGTTGTGTTTATTTTCAGGCTCATCTATGCCGGAAAACAGCTTGCCGATGACAAAACGGCGAAAGATTACAACATAGAGGGTGGCTCTGTTCTTCATTTGGTCCTTGCTCTTAGGGGTGGATCTGAATAAATAAGATTGAAACAAACATCTTTCTTTCTTTCTCTGTTTTCCTCCTATGGTGGTTTAGTTTAAATCATGAGAAAAAAATGGTATTGGAATATTATCATGTTTTCTATGTTTGTGTTTGGATCCATAATTTCTTCTCTAGTTATTTATATGAATCGATGACGGATGCGTGAAATTTGAGCTTTAAAACTTCCTCTCAGAATGATCCCACGGTTTAAATTCATCTCATTTTCAGTTGAGTTGATTCAGCTATAAATTTTTGATATTACCAAAAAAAAAATGTCCAAAGATTTACATCAGAGTTCTCTCACAAATAACATGAACAAATAATGGATGACAAAAGGAAAATAAAAGTGTTAATTAATAAATTTAATTTAATGGGAAGCAGTACTTAGTACTTGCTATGTGTTTCTTTCCTATTATTGGGAGCACTGTCTTTTCACACTTGGTGACAATCTTAGTATTACAGACAAAAGAGTTTGACCGGTCTTCTTCGCTCATCCCATTCTTCTCCCTCAGCTCCAACAGCTGTTTCTCTAATCTCTCTCTAGTTCTTGAATGAATTCAAGATTCGCGCATATGGCCGAGCCATCAGGTGGCCAAGAGATGGTTCTACGAGAGTACAGTAAAGGGAATTGGACAGTGAGTGAGACTTTGTTGCTCATAGAAGCCAAGAAGATGGATGAAGAGAGGCGTGTGCGGCGGTCTATCGGCCCTCCTCCGCCAGAGAAGCAACAGGAATTCCGGAACAGACCCGTGACGGAGCTCCGGTGGAAGTGGATAGAGGAGTATTGTTGGAGGAGAGGATGTCTGAGAAATCAGAATCAGTGCAACGATAAGTGGGACAATCTCATGAGGGATTACAAGAAGATCAGAGAGTACGAGAGGTGGAGGGTCGATTCGTCTTTCAACACCGGCTCTTCCTCCCCTGCGGCGTCGTACTGGAAGATGGAGAAAACTGAGAGGAAAGAGATGAACTTGCCGAGTAATATGTTGCCTCAGATATACGAGGCGTTGGCTGAGCTAGTAGAGAAGAAGAATCCACCTTCATCCTCTTCTTCCTCCGCCGCTGTTACCGTCGTCGGAAACGGTAACGGTGGTTCTTCAGGCGGCCAGATCCTAAGAGTGTGTCAACAAAGTTTAGGATTTGTAGCTCCGGTGATGGCTCAGCCGATGTGTCAAATCCCGGCTACTATTGTATTACCTCTTCCGCCACAGCCGCCGCCACATGCTCTGTTCTTATCACACCCTCCGCCGCCGCAACCCCCACCGTCCACATTTCACGCTGAGCCTATGCAGCCCACAGTAGGTACCTTCCATTTTATCTCTCTTCTTAAACTCCTGAAGTAACCCCAAAAGTTGGATTTTGTTTCAGGTTTATTAATAAATTTCTTGGTTATATAAAGATTTAACGTAGTATATTGTTAGATATATATCTTGGAAAGTTGGAAATGTGCTAGTAGTAGTAGTAGTAGCTCAGATTCTGATACGAGTGACTATTCAGACACATCGCAGGCGAAGCGAAAGAGAACAACGCCGGGAGAAACCACCGGTGGAGGAGAGAGGGAGGCAGATGAGATTGCGGCTGGAGCGGTGTTTTCAAGAAGCGCGTCTGTGATCGCACAAGTGATAAGAGAGAGTGATGAGAGACAAGAGAGGAGGCATAAGGACGTGGTGAGGCTGCAAGAGAGGAGACTGAAGATTGAGGAATCAAAAGCTGAGATAAACAGACAAAGTATGAATGGCGTGGTGGACGCCATCAATAAACTCGCAACCTCCATATTTACTTTGGCTTCACCTTCTTCTTCTTCCAGCCATAACAATGATCAAAATCATCAAGGAGGTCCACAATGATAATTATTGACTAGATTATATTAGTAAATATTGTTCTTATAATGTGCTTAGCTAGGATGTAGATATATGATTCTTGGGTTGTAACGTTTGATGCTTACTTTCAATTAATATAGCAAGAAGTATCAACCATGCAAAATGTTACTCTCCACGCCTCTTGTGTTGATGTTGAAGTGTGGAGCGTGAAAGAGCCACGCGCTAGTGTGAGGCAAGCTTAGTGGTAAAAGGGAGAGTGACACGTAATGGAGAGAAAGAATGAGAGAGAGAGTGGTCAAAGAGAAAGAGAAGAGTTATTATTGGTGGGTTATGACTTGTGTGAGTGATGAGTTTTTCATATCTATTCTTCTCACCTTTTACTGCATCAATTCAAAAGTCTCTGTCACACGGACCCTCCCTTAATTGGTAGGGTATGCTTTCTTGGAATAGAAGAACGTGGTTTCAATTTACAATGAATCCAATATTTTTCTCTCTACTTGCTCCATATAACCTGAAAACCAAACTTAACATCATCACTTCAAACCAAAATGCTCACAGTTTGGATGTGTCTTCCTTTACTTCCGGTAACTTTTTTTGTACGTTATCAACAAAGGCATTTATGTTGCAAAAGATTAATAATGTGTTTTCTGCACATTATTGGCTTATTTGTTTTCTAGAAAACTCTATCCGTGTAACAAGTTGTGTCTTTTTTTTTTTTTTTTTTTTTTTTTTTTTTTTTTAACAAATCCATCATCAGATAAATGAATCTGTGTGCACTTTACTGAAAAGACACAAAAAAAGATAGAGTTTTATCTTTTTGCAAGAGAAAGAAAATATTTACAGAGGCCCGGCCAAAATGTTTTTGTTATATAACCCAATATATATTAGGGGGTGGTATTGGATTATTAAATTAGATAGAAAGTACAAGAATTCAAAAATAATTGATTTCTAAATAATTCAAAGTGTTTTGTTGGAATTTAAATCAATTCTATTAAAATCAGAGTAAAAATGGTATGAATTGATTATTTACAATTTTTATGTAAAATTCTATTAAATTCTTTCCAAATGATAACATAATCAAAGCTATTATAAAATTGAATAACACAGATATTTAATAGAATTGGAGAATTAGTATATTGAATAACAATGGTATTTAAAAGATTTTGAAAGAATGAATAGAAAAATACTTAATCCAATAACACAGATATTTAAAAGAATTGATAATATATATAATTGAATAACAGTGGCATTTAATAGAATTTTCAATTCTGTACAATTCAATCCAATTTCTGAACCCAATACCCCCACCTTAGAGTTGGATTCGAAAGAAGCAAAACTGAACAAGAAACTGACCCAGGATGTAGTGAAACCATATATGTTAGGTTGATCCCATACCAACATTTTCACGAGGAAGAAGGCGAAGAGACTTGAGTGTGAGAGACCACAAAGTATATCATCTTCAAAGGTAAACCAAGACGTTTGAACTAAGAAGTCGAAGAGCCTATAGTCATGAGCTCAAATCAATGACTTCAGAGGAAAATTCAGAAGATCAGATGATTGATACGGTTGCTTATCCCACAGACTTGAGCCCAGGCCATGTTTCTGCCATTTTGGTGTCAATATATATATTTTTTTACAATTTTAACGTCATTATAACAAGATTTCATAATTTTGATGTCAAAACGATATATCCAAAATATGTAGATAATTTTAGTTATAATCTGATTTGCATTCAAACACAACATCCGGTACATTTACATTCTTATGACCACCACGCTCTAAAAATTTTGATTTTTTTCAAGTTTTACATTGGCCCCAGCCAAATGTTTGACACATTATTCATGTAACTAACTTTCTGTCGTTTCTACTTCTACAATTACCAACGTGGTCCATCTTTTCTTTTTTTCATTTATGAGAAGCAGTTATCAGTTTACCACCATAATTATATTGTTAAGGAATATTTAAAACAATAATTTAAAATGACAGCAAAGAAATTAAATTGGCCCACTTGGCCGATGGAAAATCCCAAGTTGACTCCAAAGGACTAGAGAGAGAGAGAGAGAGAGAGAGAGAGAGAGAGAGAGAGAGAAACAGAGGCGAGAGACCATTATCGACCACGAAGCAGGCGCCGATTTGCGGGAGAAGAAGACTTTGGAGAATTTCATTCAATGTCTCCTCTCGCAACCTTCCACCGTCTTGCTCACGACACCTTCTCTTCCTCTCTCCTCTCACTGGTTCGCTCTCTCTCTCTCTACTTCATTGACAAATGTTGGCATTTTGCTTGCTATCCTTTTGATTTCTTTTCCTTATTATTAATCTGGGTTTCTTGAGATGACTTTGATGCTTCTTCAAATTTGTGACTTTTCCTCAACATTGGTATGGAAAGGATGGATTTTTATTTGCTGGGTTTCCTGTTGAATTTGACTTGAATTTCACTAAATCGCGTAGAAAAACACATTTCCTCATTTCTTTCTTCGTTCTTGCTTGCTAGATACTACAGTGCTTTAGATCTAAATACACTAGATCTATTAAAATTACCAAATCTTTTTCCTGTTTGTCTTTTTGTCCTCTAGTGCATTGAAATTAGTGTTTCTCTGTCTTCCTCAAGATCTTTTTAATCAAGAAGCTGTTGATTTGCGGATTCAAGTACCAATTTCTGGTTTGTTTAATCGTCTTCTCTTTCACTTCTCATTGAAGTCACAAGTTCGAAGCTCTAAAGCATCAACATTATTCCTCAATGCCTTCGAATCCATTCCTACCTCAGAAGATATCTTTGCCCGAATCAGGCTATGGTTGGAGCAAGCAAGGGCTGTAGTAGTTGTTCCTGTCTTCAAGTTCCTGGTGGCTCTATGCTTGATCATGTCTGTGATGCTCTTCGTGGAGGTGCTCTACATGGGAATCGTCGTACTGTATGTCAAGTTGTTCAAGAGGAAACCAGAGAAAGTTTACAAATGGGAAGCTATGGAGGAAGATGTTGAGTGTGGCAGTGCAAGCTTCCCTATGGTTCTTGTGCAAATACCAATGTACAACGAAAAAGAGGTAACGACTTAAGCAACCGTATATCTCCGTATCATCCAGTGATTGGTATTTAGTGGAATTTCTCTGTATTTTGGTAGGTTTGTGAGCAATCTATTGCAGCTGCTTGCAAAATCTCGTGGCCATCGAATCGTATAATCATTCAAGTGCTTGATGACTCCACAGAGCCAGCCAGTAAGGTCCACTTCTCCTTTTTCTTCATCTCTAAGCCATGTGTTTTTGGATGGACTCACGAATTTGCTGTGTTCAACTGAGTTGCTTAACATTTTGGTTCTGTGGCAATGATGGAAGGAAACAGGAACTGGTGAAAAAGGAGTGTGAGAGATGGTCGAGAGAAGGCGTCAACATAACCTTTGAGATCAGAGATAACAGGAACGGATACAAAGCTGGTGCGCTTAGAGAAGGGATGAAGCATAGCTATGTGAAGCAGTGTGACTATGTTGCTATCTTTGATGCTGATTTCCAGCCTGATCCTGACTTCCTCCTCCGCACTATGCCTTTCCTAATTCACAATCCCAAGTTAGCACTTGTTCAAGGCCGTTGGGAGTTTGGTAACATTCTTTAAAGACACCTTTCTCTCTTCTTTTTTCCCATGCTTTGAGATTTTGCCTTTTCCAACAATCTCATGATATCTCAGTGAATGCGGATCAATGCATGATGACGAGATTGCAGGAGATGTCTCTAAGTTACCATTTCACGGTAGAGCAGCAAGTTGGATCCTCAACATTTGCCTTCTTTGGGTTCAACGGTATAGCACATTCTCATTACTTATTTTTTCTTAACATTTCTTTTCTCGGTAAAGCTTTTTTCTTGATCGTCTGAAACTACTGCAGGAACGGCTGGTGTGTGGAGAATCTCAGCGCTGAATGAGTCCGGGGGATGGAATGACCAGACAACAGTAGAAGACATGGACTTAGCTGTAAGAGCTACACTCAGAGGCTGGAAATTACTATACATCGATGATCTCAAGGTATAGAAGATTCCTCTCTTTTCTTGGCACCTTGGGTTATGCGGTTGTTTCATTTTTTTGAATCTGTTATCTGTAGGTGAAAAGCGAGCTACCTTGTTCCTTCAACGCTCTCCGTAGCCAGCAGCATCGATGGACTTGTGGCCCTGCCAATCTATTCAGGAAAATGGCAGGACAGATAATAAGAAGCGAGAATGTTTCTATGGGGAAGAAGTTGTATATGTTGTACAGCTTCTTCTTCATGCGCAAGATCGTGGCTCACATCCTCACCTTCAGCTTCTACTGTGTTATCTTGCCAGCAACTGTTATGTTCCCAGAAGTCACAGTTCCGAAATGGGCTGCGTTTTATCTCCCTTCGTTGATCACTCTCTTCATCGCAATCGGTAGATTAAGGTCTCTCTCCTCCTCTCTTACTCTTTCAAAACAAACTTCATATGTAACTTATTCTGTCTTCTTACATTTTTGCCTCTTTTATTAACCAGATCAATCCACCTTTTGGCTTTCTGGGTTCTGTTCGAGAATGCAATGTCCCTGCTTCGAGCAAAGGCTCTCGTAATGGGGTTGTTTGAAACAGGAAGAGTGCAGGAATGGGTTGTGACAGAGAAATTGGGTGATGCACTCAAGACGAAGCTGCTTGCACAAGTGCCTAAAGAGAATCATGTCAGGTTCAGAGAGAGGTAAGCAAACATATTTGTCATATTGGTTTTGGTTGAGCTTTACTTTGAGCTTACATGGATATTACTATTTACTGTTGCAGGGTGCATTTGCTGGAGCTATTGGTTGGAACATACCTCTTGTTCTGCGGATGCTACGATATCTTCTACGGGAAGAACACACTCTTTGTGTACCTTCTCTTGCAGTCAACAGCCTTCTTCGTTGTTGGTTTTGGATTTGTCGGCAAATATGTCCCTGCTTCCTCCTAACAATAGATATAGAACAAAGAGTCTCAATATGTTTCAAAAGGTTTTTAGTTGATACCATATTGAGCATACCCTTCTTCTTTGGGATATCTGAAAGAAATGCTATATATACACTTGTATTACCAACTTGAGTGTTTGCAACACAATCAATCCAAAATGTGACCAATACAAAAAAAAACTCGTTTTGAGTGGTCTGGGACATGACATGAGCTTTGTAAATATGTAATAGTGTTTGTTGAACTCGTGGCTCCATATTAACTACAAAAACTAGTTTTAAAAGTCCTCACTTTTAACGGCTAGAAATTAATTGAGTAAAGCATTATCCACTTGTCTTCCTCTGAAATTTTTTCTCAAGCGCGGCAATGTCTCTTCTGCTTCCGATCTATCCTCCGTCACCGTCACCTCTCCATTCATTAGCCAGAAGCTACAGATGGTTACCGGTTCGAACCGGATCAAAACCGGTTTGTTTGGCAGTGACCAGAGCCCAAACTAGCAGTGGTGATCAAGAGCAGGATGTAGTGATTGTTGGCGCCGGGATTGGCGGACTTGCCACCGCCGTTTCTCTTCACCGGTAAGTTACGAATTGCAGAATCGGTTCTTTAAAATTTACTTGAATACTCAAGAGCCACTGTGAACCGGAGAATTTGGTTGACGGTTTTAGGCTCGGGATCCGGTCGGTGGTGCTGGAGCAGGCAGAGTCACTTCGGACCGGAGGAACATCGCTGACGCTATTCAAGAACGGGTGGCGCGTTCTGGACTCAATCTCCGTTGGGCCTCAACTCCGAACGCAGTTCCTCGAAATCGAAGGGTAAAGTTTCTTCTTGCACATTGCACATACACTAGTGAAATCAAAAAGATGATTCGGTCTTCTGAAATTGTGACAACAATGTGATCAGACCTTGATCCCAAAAGGTGAGATTTTTCTTGGATTTAGCTGAGTGTGTTGGTATGATCAGCTGAGCAGGATGGTAGTGAAGAAGGAAGATGGAAGAGAGCTTCGTTCTTTCAAATTCAAAGATGAAGATCAAAGGTAGGCACTTGATAAACCTGCTCACGAAGGTGGTTTAAAGAGCATTTCGGTTTGATTCGCTCTGTGTAACCAAATCATCTCTTATATATATATAGCCAAGAAGTTCGAGCGGTGGAGAGACGAGTACTCCTGGAAACACTTGCAAGCCAGCTGCCTCCACAAACCATTCGCTTTTCTTCAAAACTGAAAACTATACAAAGCAATGCCAACGGTGACACTCTCCTGCAGCTTGAAGATGGAAGCCAGTTGCTTGCAAAGGTATTGCTCACTCCTATCCTGTGGTCATGTTCAAGTAACATAAGGATGCACCAAGCTATGATCAGAAGATATGTGCCTTGGTTGATTTGATGATGTATGCATCTGCAGATTGTTATTGGTTGTGACGGTATCAGGTCCAAGGTCGCGACTTGGATGGGGTTCAGTGAGCCGAAATACGTTGGTCACTGCGCTTTCCGTGGCCTTGGGTTCTATCCAAAAGGACAGCCATTTCAGAGAAAAGTGAACTACATATACGGAAGAGGGCTTCGAGCTGGATATGTACCTGTATCTGCAACAAAAGTCTACTGGTTCATCTGTTTCAACAGCCCATCTCTAGGTAGATTTCAACACTCCCCTCAGGCACTCCACAAAGATAAAAATCTCTTATTTCTCAATACCTACATCATATATATATGCAGGACCGAAAATCACTGATCCTGCCATCCTTAAAAAGCAAGCCAAAGAACTGGTTAGTACATGGCCTAAGGATCTTCAAGACCTCATCGATCTAACACCTGATGAAACAATCAGCAGAACTCCTCTTGTAGACCGGTGGCTATGGCCTGGCGTCGCTCCTCCGGCGTCAAAAGGCCGAGTGGTTCTTGTCGGAGATGCTTGGCACCCAATGACTCCAAACCTTGGTCAAGGTGCTTGCTGTGCCTTGGAGGATTCGGTTGTTCTCGCGAATAAACTTGCCGGTGCAATCAACGGAAGGGCTGAGTCAGTCGAAGGGGCGATGGAATCGTATGGGAGCGAGAGATGGTCTCGTGCGTTTCCTTTGACAGTACGTGCAAATCTAGTTGGAGCATTACTGCAATGGGACAATCCACTTGTGTGTTTCGTTAGAGACAATGTTGTCATACCGAAGCTATTGAGGCTTGGACCAATGCTGGAACACACAAACTTTGAGTGTGAGCCTCTCTATGCTTCAAAAACTTGAATTCCTTTTGAGCTGTCTGTATAGAGAGAGGGCTTGAAAACAATGTAGAAACAGAGGAAAAGTATGACAAAAACAGATCCTTTTATGAATAAAAAGTTAACATAATCTCTGTAAAAGAATAAATACAATGCAGATCGTTTATGCTGTGAGGGAGAAAGATTCTACAGAGCTAACATTTTTTGAGAAAAAATTGTCTCAAGAAAAAACTGAAGAAGGCACCTAATAATCGGCCCCTTCAAGTCATCAAACTCTGTCTTCCACTATGCAAAGCCAATCGTCACGGTTTGATTATTGCTACTGTGAACAAATCAAACGTAAGTCTCATCAAAATACAAAAGACAAAACTCAAAAATCTAAACTTTATGTCAAAAAAATGCTTATCGAATCGATTTCTGCATCTCTCGAGGAAAACAGAGGATTGGTTTCGGAAGAATCGAATCAAATCGAATTTGGTATTACCTGGATTCGAAAACATCCAAAGAATCACGGCGCAGAGAATGAGGAGGAGAGGAATGAAATGGATAGCGTTCTCGGCGGATCTGAGTCGCGATTTGTCCTTCTTCCCAGGGTGAGAGTTTGGGTCGTACCGAGGCAGAAGAAGCTGGACATCCTCCGAATCTTTGGCGCTATGAATTCGCGGCGGAGACGGTGATGGCGACGGAGAGCTCGCTGATAATTGGTCGGAAACTATGGAGGCGCTCGCCGACCGACGCATCTCTTCTAACTTTACGCGCTTTCTCGCTTTCTCAAAGGGAAACTTCTATTTATATAATCATGAGTAAGAATTTACCATTTCACCCATTCAAAGTCAAGCTCACGCGCTCTTCCCGGCAAATTAGTGTTGAGTGAGTGTTATTAAAAGCGTACCGATAAACACTTGCAAACCCTTTTTTTTAATATTTAAAAAGTTTTATAAATAAATAATTTTGAAAAAAATTCAATTTGTATATGTGGTAATTTTGATCTAATATGTATGGTTCTTTATCAATATAAAAATATGCATATATGGGCGAAATTTGTATGTATATTTATATAGTTGTATATACTTGTACATATCAAAGCAGAGCATGGTAATATGTTTTAAGTTTGTTATTTATGTTTTGCTTTGAACTTAGTGTTTACTTTGTAAAGTTACGATTAGTCGTTTTTCTCTTTTAAATCGGATCTAAATGTATATATATAAACCGAACAAAGCTGGCACTAACGAAGTAAACCCTTCTTCAAAAAAAAGCTGGCACTAACGAAATAATACGATAGTTTGTATAACCCTAATTCAAGAAAATGAGCAAAGCACGTTCATGACCCAAAACTGATATCAACTACTAAAAGTTTAGAAGAGTCAAAGAGTGTTTCATAGTTAGGACTACTACACATATAAAAATCTCAGTTTGGATAGAAGAATTGCGTTAGTTTTTTATTGTTAAATAGTTTTTAGTCTTTAACTTAAAATGAGAAATGTTCAAAGTCAAAACTGATTTTCTTAATGTTTACTGAGTAGAAAACTAAACTTCAATAACACATGATTACAATAAAGACAATGTTGAAGAGTATTTTGTTCTGTTTTGAAAAGCTGTAGTTTATATAGAATTTTATGAGGTTATATAAACTATATCAAATTTATTTATCAATAAAACCAATTTTAAAATTTTTTTGATATACTATGGTTTCTTTATTGCTTTAGAGACAATTATTGTTTTATATAATTATATTTATTTACTTTGTAAAGGTACGAAATTTAAATTTAGGGCCAAGTTTTTGTTTTATATAATTATATTGGGTTTATACTGGGCCATATTAATATTTTAAATTATAAAAATTTAACAACAATTAAGGTCCAGTTACTTATATATTTAGGGTTAAGTATGTTATTATATCATATAAATATGTTATATAAATTTTTTGCAGAAATGCGCCGCACCAGCACTTCAAATGGACTTCAAATGGAGTTGTAAGAAACAAGAGAGAATCTCTACATTATTAGTTTTGCGTTTCGTTTCGTGATAGAGGTACAACATAAATTTCTCATAATAATGCAGCAAGAACGGAAAGTAAATCAAATATTAGATTTGTTTCAATTTATATGTATGCTCAATTGATTAAAATCGCATAAATATATTTTGTTTTTTGTTTTTTGTCACCAATTTTTTAAGAAGAGAGTTTTTTTATCAAAGGTACATCCATCCCAAGAGGGAAATCAAACCTACAAAATGGTAACAGAATCGTAAAACAGTTGCATGATTAGGTTTACACTTCAGTACATGCTTCATAAACATGTACACAGCACATAACGGGTTTAATACTTTGTTAGCGAATAAAGGCTTTATTAAGAATTGTCAAAATTCGTTTTTTGTTGTTGTATATCGTTCTTATAATATGGTTCATCTGTCTGTTTATGTAATAATTGGCTTTTGGAAAGTTCTGTATATTGACTTTGTAATCCTATTTTGATATCAATGAAATTGTCTTTTGTAGAAAGACAAGAAAAAAACATATATATATATATATATTATTTGCATATTGACTTTTAATTTAATAGCGAAATAAAAATATAGATTGTTGTTTCAGAAGATGAACTAATATATAAACATTCTATTAAGTTTTACATTGGGAAACATATATACATTTTTGGCCACTTCACTATTCTTTACTCTACTTATATATTAGATTGATTTCTGCTATCTTTACTCTACTTATATATTAGTAGTCTAATTCAATGTTTCTGTATGGTCGTGGCAGCTTGTAATTAATCAAGCAGATGGCTAGGAAGAAGAGAAGCGTTAGGTCCTTAATGGGGGAGGGAGTGGTTTCCGATGGTGCAAAAAAATTCAAGATCTACAACAAACCGCTTATGATTTGCACCACTATTCAAATTCGCTCACAATGCAACGTATGCATTCTCTTTTTTTGATCTTCCTCAAACATTTCTTATTATTTCTAGTTCAGGACCACCTTTATTGAATTGTGTTAACAATTGTTCTGCACTTTCTGTATATAATTAGCCGATCATATCCCCCTTTTACTAATCAAAAAATAGTTTAGTACTTACGGAAATGTGTAAGCTTGTTAATTTGTTCTTTGTCATGCAGCCATTTATCCTTCCAAGATGTTTGAGCTACAGAATCCAAGCGAAGAAACAAAAAAAGTATGAATTCTAAGAATCTCTTCTATTCTATATTTTATTTCGGACATTTCTAATGAATACCATATTTATGTTTTTTTTTTTTAAATCATCATTTGTGAACCCTTCTTAATCTTGTAAGAAACATATTTGTTGTGTGTTTGGAACTATTTTTTTTTCGTGGTATTTTCTTTATTTCTATTATGTTACGCAGAACATGTGAATGGCCTCTTCTCACTCTCATGCCACACTTATATTTTGCTTAGGTCCAATTCATCAGGTGGTGCAATTTTCAACTATATGGATAGTAAAAACAACATACTAAAAGCTGAAGGTGAGTCTTTAATTGGTTATGTCGTTTCAGAATATGTTGTCACTCACTGTGTGTTTCTTCTGACAATTTATTATCAAATTGCAGATGTGAAGGACTATTCTTGTACATTTTGCTCAATGAAATGTGGAAGCCTCGAGGTAGGCATTAATAAGAATTAAGCTTTCAAATGATATATTTTATTCACAATGTGTATTCAAATATTTCATGCGCAGGGCTTGAAACTTATATCTTGCAAAAAAATACAATTCACTTGTGTATATGCGCAGGGCTTGAAACTTCATTTGACGTCATCACATGACATCTTTGAATACAACTTCCGGGTATGTTGTTCTTAAGGATCTACGTAACTTATATAAAATATTTCTTTCAAGATAAGTACTTATACGGTTATACCTATGTTAGCTGTGGAATAAAGATCACCCGACGATTGATGTCTCCCTGAAACCTGTAGCATTCAAATTTGGGGTTAGTAAGAAACTTGCTACTTACGCAACATATCAAGTGGTTCAGAAACTAATTCATTTGTCATAATTCTGAACTCCACCATAATGCTTTTTTGGTATCAGGAACTACGCAAGTCATTAGAGAATCACCATGGGATTCCATTTACCTTTTGGTAAAATTCGAACTCCATACTCTACCTTTTAGCTAATATGATTCATTCATCATCTTCTTAGAGCGAAACCATAACTTATGCAGGTCGAAACGTCAGCGAAGACAAAGAGATGATAGGCGTCACTTGTTGAAGCTGGAAAGGAAAATCGAAGATATTAAGTTTACTCAGCTAGAGCCTCTTCCTCGTAAGAGAAAAAGGACATCTTTAAAGGAGTCCAAGGACACAAGGTTATCTACTTGTTATATTTTTTTCATAATTACATATACATAATCTTGTTGCTAATGTGTAAATGTTTATAATATTGATGTTGTTAACCAAAATCTTGTTGATTGTCTCCAGCACCGACAATCAACTAGAAATAGGTCAATGTTTTAAATCTAAGGAGCCTCTTCCTTGTAAGAGAAAAAGGACATCTGCAAAGCAGTCCAAGGGCACAAAGTTATCTATTTGTGATATTTTCTTCATAATTACATATACATAATCTTGTTGCTAATGTGTAAATATTTATAATACTGATGTTGTTGACCAAGATCTTCCTGATTGTCTCCAGCACCGACAATCAACTAGAAATAGGTCAATGTTCTAAACCTAAGGAGCCTCTTCCTTGTAGGAGAAAAAGGACACATGCAAAGCGGTCCAATGGCATAAGGTTATCTACTTGTGATATTTTCTTCATAATTACATATACATAATCTTGTTGCTAATGTGTAAATGTTTATAATACTGATGTTGTTAACCAAGATCTTGTTGATTGTCTCCAGCACCGACAATCAACTAGAAATAGGTCAATGTTCTGAACCTGAGCAGCCTCTTCCTTGTAAGATAAAAAGGACACCTGCAAAGCGGTCCAAGGGCACAAGGTTATCTACTTGTGATATTTTCTTCATAATTACATATACATAATCTTGTACTAATGTGTAAATGTTTATAATATTGATGTTGTTAACCAAGATCTTGTTGATTGTCTCCAGCACCGACAATCAACTAGAAATAGGTCAATGTTCTAAATCTAAGGAGCCTCTTCCTTGTAGGAGAAAAAGGACATCTGCAAAACAGTCCAAGGACACAAGGTTATCTATTTGTGATATTTTCTTCATAATTACATATACATAATCTTGTTGCTAATGTGTAAATGTTTATAATACTGATGTTGTTGACCAAGATCTTCCTGATTGTCTCCAGCACTGACAATCAACTAGAAATAGGTCAATGTTCTAAACCTAAGGAGCCTCTTCCTCGTAAGAGAAAAAGGACATCTTTAAAGCGGTTCAAGGGCACAAGGTTATCTACTTGTGATATTTTCTTCATAATTATATATATATAATCTTGTTGCTAATGTGTAAATGTTTACAATACTGATGTTGTTGACCAAGATCTTCCTGATTGTCTCCAGCACCGACAATCAACTAGAAATAGGTCAATGTTCTAAACCTAATGAGCCTCTTCCTTGTAGGAGAAAAATGACACCTGCAAAGCGGTCCACTGGCATAAAGTTATCTACTTGTGATATTTTCTTCATAATTACATATACATAATCTTATTGCTAATGTGTAAATGTTTATAATATTGATGTTGTTAACCAAGATCTTGTTGATTGTCTCCAGCACCGACAATCAACTAGAAATAGGTCAATGTTCTAAATCTAAGGAGCCTCTTCCTTGTAAGAGAAAAAGGACATCTGCAAAGCAGTCCAAGGGCACAAGGTTATCTATTTGTGATATTTTCTTCATAATTACATAAACATAATCTTGTTGCTAATGTATAAATATTTATAATATTGATGTTGTTGACCAAGATCTTCCTGATTGTCTCCAGCACCGACAATCAACTAGAAATAGGTCAATGTTCTAAACCTAAGGAGCCTCTTCCTTGTAGGAGAAAAAGGACACATGCAAAGCGGTCCAATGGCATAAGGTTATCTACTTGTGATATTTTCTTCATAATTACATATACATAATCTTGTTGCTAATGTGTAAATGTTTATAATACTGATGTTGTTAACCAAGATCTTGTTGATTGTCTCCAGCATCGACAATCAACTAGAAATAGGTCAATGTTCTGAACCTGAGGAGCCTCTTCCTTGTAAGATAAAAAGAACACCTGCAAAGCGGTCCAAGGGCACAAGGTTATCTACTTGTGATATTTTCTTCATAATTACATATACATAATCTTGTTGCTAATGTGTAAATGTTTACAATACTGATGTTGTTGACCAAGATCTTCCTGATTGTCTCCAGCACTGACAATCAACTAGAAATAGGTCAATGTTCTAAACCTAAGGAGCCTCTGCCTTGTAGGAGAAAAAGGACACCTGCAAAGCGGTCCAATGGCATAAGGTTATCTACTTGTGATATTTTCTTCATAATTACATATACATAATCTTGTTGATAATGTGTAAATGTTTATAATACTTATTTTGTTAACCAAGATCTTGTTGATTGTCTCCAGCACTGACCGTCTCAAGAAACTGCATTTCCATAACTTTATGACAGGGCAGGTACGTTTACAGTTTACTTTGCTTCATGTCTTGATTTTGTTAACAATGCTGTCTCTCTCTTTCATTTTCACTAATCAAAGTTGCATGTCGAAGCCAATGACGATTGAACTAGCATTGGCTGGTGAGGATAGCGAAGCTAAACCTGCTGATGAATTTAAAGATATGGAAGAACGTTGGGTATTCCCTTTTTATTTTATTTTCATTTAATTGTTACGAAATATCATAACTTAGACTAAAGGCATTTGCTCTTCCTTGTTTTGAAATTTTATAGACGCCTGATACATATACGGATACGAAGGACGAGGACAAGCGAATAATGTTCCTTTGGAACTCATTTGCGAGAAAGAAAAGGCACTTGCTCTTTTCTTTTTTTTTTTTCTACTTGCATAATCTTGTTGAATCATTCACATTTGTTAAAACGTTTGTTGTTTGTGTTGGTTTACTTTGGGTGCAGGGTGTTGGCGGATAGAGATGTTCCTGGGGCATGTGAAGCGTTCGTAAACAATCATGAGAAAGAGCTGATCAGTACCAGTCAATATTTCGTGTAAATAATAATAATCTTTCCATCTAGTTACTCTTTAAATGACATGCCAAAATGTGTTGGAGCATGACATCAAATTTTGTTTTAACTTTCGTTTGATGCATGTGAGCAGGCAGTGGAGAGTTTTTATGCTTAACCTGTGGAACAAGGGTCTCATCTGCGCCAAGACCATGGATAAATGCAATGCCTTCCTCCTCAAGTCACAAGAAGCAGCAGAAGCAGAAGCAGAAGCAGCAGTCCCATCATCATCCACCTCTCAAGCTACTGCTGCTGATCGCAACGAGCAACAACCTATGGAACTTGATCATTCCAGCGAAAAAGCAGCAGCCGCCTCATTGCTATTGTTGTCATCAGCAGTCCCCTCTCAAGCTACTGCTGATCGCAACGGGAAACAACCTATGGAAGTTGAAGAATAAAAAACATCAACAGTGTTGATTGATTGTTGAGCGTTTCTTTTCTAAATGTAGCTGATCGAATGTTTATTTTAGATTTCCCCTACTCTGATCAACTCTGAGATGTGTTCTTTGATACCGTTCCCTTCTTTTCATTTCACTCTGATCAACTCTGAGATCGATGATACTAAATCTCAAGGTCATTAAGTAAGAAAGACTTATTTGGATACTTGAAAAGTAGATTTCATTAACGTTGATCCTCATCAAAGGCTGTCTGTGTAGAGAGATGTAGAAGCAGAGGAAAAGTAATCTCTGTAAAAGAATAATACAACGCAAATCGTTTTAAGCTGTGAGGGAGAAAGATTCTACAGAGCTAGAAAAAATGTCTCAAGAAAAAACTGAAGAAGGCACCTAATAATCGTCCCCTTCAAGTCATCAAAATCTGTCTTCCACTATGTAAAGCCAATCGTCAAGGTTTGATTATTGCTACTGTGAACAAATCAAACGTAAGTCTCATCAAAATGCAAAACCAAAAATCTAAACTTTATGTAACAAAAATGGCTAATCGAATCGATTTCTGCATATATGAGTGAAATCCACCAAACCCAAAGACACATATTTTAGCGATTCACCAATCAATCAACGGCTTCTCTCTTGAGGAAAACGGAGGATTTGTTTTCGAAGGAATCGAATCGAATCGAATCGAATTTGGTATTACCTGGATTCGAAAACATCCAAAGAATCACGGCGCAGAGAATGAGGAGGAGAGGAATGAAATGTATAGCGTTCTCGGCGGATCTGAGTCGCGATTTGTCCTTCTTCCCGGGGTGAGAGTTTGGGTCGTACCGAGGCAAAAGAAGCTGCACATCCTCCGAATCTTTGGCGCTATGAATTCGCGGCGGAGACGGTGATGGCGACGGAGAGCTCGCTGATAATTGGTCGGAAACTATGGAGGCGCTCGCCGATCGACGCATCTCTTCTTCTACTTTACGCGCTTTCTCGATTTCACAAATGGAAACTTCTATATATATTCATTAAATACGAAATGACCATTTACCCCCATTCAAAGTCAAGCTCACGCGCTCTTTCCGGCAAATCAGTGTTGAGTGAGTGTTACAAACCTTTTTATTTCTTAATTTTTTTTTTAAATTAAATAGTTTTATACTAATAAATAAGTTATGAAAAAAAAGAACTTGTATAGATTGTAATTTTGATGTAATAATATGAATCGCTCTTTATATAAAAGTATGCATATATATCAAAGCATTGGTAATGATATTAAGTTTTGTTATGATTATCAAATTTTTTTGGGAAATACGCCGCACCAGCACTGCAAATAGAGTTGTAGTAAATAAAAGAGGATCACTATATTATTAGTTTTGTGTTATTTTGATTGAAGTACAACATAAATTGTTCTTAATTACATTAAGAACTGAAAGTAACTTAAAATATAGATTAGATTTATTTTAGTTTACACTTAATTTCAGTTGATTAAATTCGTATAAATAGATTTTGTATTAAAGGGTACATCCATCCCGATGGAGAAATACAAATCTACAAAATAGTAATAAAATTGTAAAAAATTACATGATTAAATAAAAACAATATTGTAGAATGTTTTCTTCTATTTTTGAAAAGCTGTAGTTAAATAGAATTTTAAAAGGTTATATAAATCATATCAAATTTGTTTATCAATAAAACAAAAAATATTTTAAACTGATATTTTATTGGTGTAGAGATGATTTTTATTTTATGAAATTTGTATTTATTTACTTTGTGAATCTACGAAACATAGATAATAATAAACTTTAACAAGAATTTTCATTCACTTGTATGTCATTATTTCGTATAAATAAGTTATTTTAAGCCTTGATAGGAATGGTACCAAAGTGCTACTGTGTGGACTTTTCTGCGAGGATCACAATATTGTCTATCCCAAGTTTGAAATGTTTTTGTTATCAGATTATATGTTAAACTGTTTGGACCAAAGCCCAAGTCCAGTGGTGGGAATGTTATAGTACATTTACAGATCTCACCAACCACTATACCACAATTATGTGGACAGTTTCATAGTAGTTTTTATTCTTAAATACTCCATATTTTTCTTTAAAAAATAGATTTTTTGAAATTTTCATACATATTAAAAAAACAAATTAAAACATCACTATAAATGCATCATTTTGTGATTAACAATTTTCTATAATTTTAAACCAATGGCAATTCTATTAATTCTTTTCAAGTTTACAATTCTTCATCATTAACTAAGAAAACATACAAAGAAAATATAAAATACCTATCTTTGTAAAACAAAAATAAAATCCAGAAAGTTCATATTTTAGAAACATAAGGAGTAGTTTTTAGTTTTTAACGTAAAATGAGAAATATTAAAGTAATTAATGTTTATTTTGTAGGAAACCAAACTTATATAGATATATATATACATATGATAAAGAATGTTTTCTTCTGTTCTTGAAAAGTTGTAATTTATGTAGAATTTTTTAAAATTATATAAATTATATAAAATTTACTTAATAATAAAATTAAATATAATTTAAACTGATTTATTATGATGTTTTTATTGGTATAGAGACGGTTTTTGTTTTGAAAAATTGTATTTATTGACTTTGTGAAGCTACGAAACTTAGATTTAGGATCGGGTTTTGTTTTATATAATTATATTGGATTCATATTTGGTCAAATTAATATTTAAATTATAAAATTTAAGAAGAATTAAGGAATATTTACTTATATATTTAGCGTTTTAAGTATGCCATTATTTCCTATAAATATGTTATATAATTTTTTCGCAAAAATGCGCAACACCAGCACTTCACATGGAGTTGTAGGAAATAAGAGAGGATCCTCACATTATTAGTTTGCGTTTCAGTGATAGAGGTACAACATAAATTATTTTTAATTATGTACCAAGATCAGAAAGTAAAGAAATATAGATTAAATTTGTTTCAATTGATATGTAATTTCAATTGATTAAATTCTCAAATAGGATTTTTTATCAAAGAGTATATTCATCCCAATGGAGAAATACAAACCTAAAAAAATAGTATCAGAATCGTAAAAGGTTGCATGATTAAATAAAAATAATGTTATAGAATATTTTGTTTTGTTTTGAAAATTGTAGTTATATAAACTTTTAAAAGGTTTACTTATCAATAAAACTAAAAATATCTCAAACTAATATATTATGATTTTTTCATTGGTGTAGAGACGGTTTTTAGTTTATAAAATTGTATTTATTTATTTTGTAAAGCTACAAAACTTGGATTTAAGGCCGAGATTTTTTTCTTTTATATAATTATATTGAATTCATATTGGGTCAAGTTAGTATTTACATTATAAAATTTAACAAGAATTAAGGTCCATTCACTTATATGTTTAGGATTTTAAGTATATCATTATTTCTTATAAATATGTTATATTAAATTTTTGCAGAAATTTAATGCGCCGCATCAACACTTCAAATGGAGTTGTAGAAAACAAGAGAAGATCTCACATTATTAGTTTGGCATTTCTGTGATAGAGGTACAAACTAAATTTGAGTATATCCATCCCAATGGGGAAATATAAACCTAAAAAATAGTATCAGAATCGTAAAAAGGTTGCATGATTAAATAAAGATAATGTTATAGAATGTTTGTTTTGTTTTGAAAATTTGTAGTTATATAAACTTTTAAAAGGTTTAATTATCAATAAAACTAAAAATATCTCAAACTAATATATTATGATGATTTCATTAGTGCAAAGACGGTTTTTAGTTTATAAAATTGTATTTATTTACTTTGTAAAGCTACAAAACTTGGATTTAAGGCCGAAGTTTTTTTTTTATATAATTATACTGAATTCATATTGGGCCAAATGAGTATTTACATTATAAAATTTAACAAGAATTAAGGTCCATTTACTTATATGTTTAGGGTTTTAAGTATATCATCATTTCCTATAAATATGTTATATTAAATTTTTGCAGAAATTAAATGCGCCGCATCAACACTTCAAATGGAGTTGTAGAAAATAAGAGAAAATCTCACATTATTAGTTTGGCGTTTCTGTGATAGAGGTACATACTAAATTTGAGTATATCCATCCCAATGGGGAAATACAAACCTACAAAATAGTATCAGAATCGTAAAAGATTGCATGATTAAATAAAGATAATGTTATAGAATGTTTTGTTTTGTTTTGAAAAGTTGTAGTTATATAAATTTTTAAAAGTTTTACTTATCAATAAAACTAAAAATATCTCAAACTAATATATTATGATGTGTTCATTGGTGTAAAGACGGTTTTTTAGTTTATAAAATTGTATTTATTTACTTTGTAAAGCTACAAAACTTGGATTTAAGGCCGATGTTTTTCTTTTATATAATTATATTGAATTCATATTGGGCCAAATTAGTATTTACATTGTAAAATTTAACAAGAATTAAGGTCCATTTACTTATATGTTTAGGGTTTTAAGTATATCATTAATTCCTATAAATATGTTATATTAAATTTTAGCAGAAATGCGCCGCATCAACACTTCAAATGGAGTTGTAGAAAACAAGAGAAGATCTTCACATTATTAATTTGGCGTTTCCGTGATAGAGGTACAAACTAAATTGTTCTTAATTACGTATCAAGATCAGAAAGTAAATCGGATATATATATTAGATTTGTTTCAATTTATACATAATTTCAGTTGATTAAATTCGTATATATAGATTTTGTATCAAAGGATATATCCATCCTAAGGGGGAAATACAAACCTACAAAATGGTAACAGAATTGTAAAAGGTTGCATGATTAAGTTTACAGTTCAGTAAATGCTTCATAACGGATTTAATACTTCGTTAACGAATAAGGTTTTATTAAGCATCATCAATATTCGTTTTTTTGTATGATTTTCACAATATAGCTCATACATCTGTTTATGTAATCATTTGCTTTTTGAAAGTTCTGTATATTAACTTTGTAATCCTATTTTGATATCAATGAAATTGTCTGCATACAGCACAAAATATATGTTATCTGCATATTGACATTTATTTTAATAGCGAAATAAAAATATAGATTGTTTCAGAAGATGAAGTAATGTATAAACATTCTATTATGTTTTACATTGGGAAGCATATATACATTTTTGGTCATTTCACTATTCTTTACCCTATTTATGTTTTAGAGTGATTTTTGCTAAATTTTGCTTGGATTACAGAGTCTAATTCAATGTTTCTGTATGGTCGTGGCAGCTTGTAATTAATCAAGCAGATGAATAGGGGGAAGAGAGTGGTTTCTGATGATGCGGAAAAATTCAAGTTCTACAACAAACCTCTAACGAGATACAGCACAATTCAAATTCGCTCACAAGGCAACGTATGCATTCTCTTTTTTTTGTTCTTCCTCAAACATTTCTTATTATTTCTAGGTCAGGACCACTTTATTGAATTGTGTTAACAATTGTTCTGCACTTTCTGTATATAATTAGCCGATCATATCCCCCTTTTACTAATTAAAAAATAGTTTAGTACTTACGGAGATGTGTAAGCTTGTTAATTTGTTCTATGTCATGCAGCCATTTATCCTTCCAAGATGTTTGAGCTACAGAATCCAAGCGAAGAAACAAAAAAAGTATGAATTCTAAGAGTCTCTTCTATTCTATATTTTATTTCGGACATTTCTAATGAATACCATATTTATGTTTTTATTTAAAATCATCATTTGTGAACCCTTCTTAATCTTGTAAGAAACATATTTGTTGTATGTTTGGACTATTTTGTTTTAGTGGTATTTTCTTTATTTATATTCTATTTCGCAGAACATGTGAATGGCTTCTTCTTACTCTCATGCCACGCTTATATTTTTGTCAGGTCCAATTCATCAGGTGGCGCAATTTTCAACTATATGGACAGTAATAACAGAATACTAAAAGCTGAACGTGAGTCTTTAATTGGTTATATGTCGTTTCAGAATCTGTTGTCACTCACTGTGTGTTTCTTTTGACAATTTATTATCTACAAACTTTTCAAATTGCAGATGTGAAGGGATATTCTTGTATATTTTGCTCAATGAAATGTGGAAGCCCCAAGGTAGGCATTAATTAGACTCAAGCTTTCAAATAATATCGATCATTAACAATGTGTATTCAAATATTTCATGCTCATTTATATCTTGCAAAAAAAAAAAAACACAAATGCCTTATATATGCAGGGATTGAAACTTCATTTGACGTCATCACATGACATCTTTGAATATAACTTCCGGGTATGTTGTTCTTAAGGATCTACATAACTTATAAAAAAATATTTTTACTCTTTACCAAGACAAGTACTTATACGGTTATTATACCTATGTTAGCTGTCGAATAATGATCACCCGACGATTGATGTCTCCATGAAACCTATTGCAGTCGAATTTGGGGTTAGTATGAAACTTGCTACGTACGCAACATTTCAAATTGTTCACAAAATATTTTATTTGTCATAATTCTCTACTCCACCATAATGTTTTGTTATTTTTCCTTTGTTTCAGGAACTAAGTGATGCATTGGAGAAGAAGCACTATTGGATTCCTTTTACCTTTCGGTAAAATTCGAACTCCATACTCTACCTTTTAGCTATATGATTCATTCATCATCTTCTTAGAGCCAAACCATAACTTACGCAGCTCGAAACGTAAGCGAGGCCAAAGAAACGATGGGCTGGAATCTTTGGAGTTGCAAAGGAACAGAGGCGCTATAACATTTACTCGACTAGAAATAGGTCAATCTTCAAAATCTCAGGCGCCTCTTCGCACTAGGAGAAAAGGGAAACCTAGAGCGCCTCTTCCCTCTAGGAGAAAAGGGAAACCTGTAAAGCTGACCAAGGGCACAAGGTTATCTACTTGTGATATGTTTTTCTTCATAATTATACATAATCTTCTTGCTAATGTATAAATGCTGATTTTGTTAACCAAGATCTTGTTGATTGTCTCCAGCACCAGCCTTCTCAATAAACGGCAGTTCTATCACTCTACAACAGGGCAGGTACGTTCACTTTCCTTCATTGTCTTGCTTTATGTAACAATGCTGTCTCTATTTGTTTACTTCCACTAATCAAAGTTGGTTGCATGTTCGAAGCCAATGACGCTTGAAGAAGTAATGACTGGCGAAGACAGCGAGAGTGATGAAGAATTAGTAGATATGGGAGAACGTTGGGTATATTTAATTATTTTTACTTTTTCTATTTTCATTCAATCGTTAAGAAAGATCAAAACTTACACTGAAGGCATTTGCTCTTCTTGTTTTTGCATTTTCACAGAGGATTAATACGTTGGAGGAAGTGCGCGACGAGGACAAGAATTTTATGTACCTTTGGAGCTCATTTGTGAGAACGCAAAGGTACGTAGTTACATTTTTTTTTTATTATTATTCTACTTGCATCTTATAGAATATCACCTTTGATAAAAAAACATTGTTGTTGTTGTGTTGTTGATTACTTTGCGGACAGGGTGTTGGCGGATTCACATATGCCATGGGCATGTGAAGCGTTCTCAAAATTTTATGAGAAAGATCTTATCAGTTCCGAACCTTTCAGGTAATAATAATAATCTTCCATCTACTCGTCATCATTATATATGATGCCAAAGTGCATCACCAAAACTTCTTTTCTAATCTTTTTCGTTTGATGCTGTGAGCAGGGACCAGTGGAGACAATTTATGGTTAAATTGTGGGAGTATGGTCTCATCTGCGCCAATACCATGCACAAATGCAATACCTTCCTCCTCAACTCACAAGAAGCAGCAGCTGCCGCATCATCATCCACCTCTCAAGCTACTGCTACTCGCAACGAGTAACAGCCTATGGAAGCTATACTGCTAATCTCAACGAGCAACAGCCTATGGAAGTTGATGAAGAATAAACAGTAACAATGTGGATTGTTGAGATTTTCGTTTCTAAATGTTTATTTATTTTAAACTTCCTGTACTCTGATCAAAACAGAGATCGTTCTATGATACCATTCCCTTGTTTCATTTTACTCTGCTCAAGTCTGATATCGCTGATACTAATCTCAAGGTCACTAAGTAAAAAGAGTAATTTGAATACTTGAAAAGGAGATTTAATTCACGTTTTTCCTCATTAAAGGCAAATGAGGCACGAGATAGTACTTAATTACAATACCCAGACGACAAAACCAGGTCTTTTTTTTTTTTGGGAGGTTTCTTCAGAATTTACAAACCTTGCTTTCTTCTATATCTAATCTGCCCATTTCTTCTTTTTATTTATAGACTTCTTTTTTACTGGGGACGAGAGACAGTGAAAAACGGCATATTCACTCGCTAGCTAAGCCAGTAGGCTCACTTTGCATCATTCTTCATCATCATCATCAGTAGACAGAAATGTCGACGCTTATACCTCCCATGGAAAGATTTTTCCCAGAAAGCTTGTGGTCCTCACGCAAGCCCAGCCACATGCACGAGATCCTCGCCAACGCAGCCTGTCCCACCACTTTCACCCGGTACACCATGCTCAGATCTGCAGCTGCCGCCCATAGCTCGTTTCCAGCAACAGTCATTGACCTCCCTGAGTTATCATCGTAGCCCTCTAGATCCGAGTGGGTCACTACTACCATCGATCCATCATCAAAGACCACCACATTCCCAGAACAAACTTGCTTCACATTTCTCGGGATCAAAGCTGAAGCAGCATCAGATAAGGAACTTTGAGTATTCAGAACCCTGACATGGTAGTAGTCAAGAACGGCCTGCAGACACAATGAGGAATCAGAGGATGAAGAAGAACAACAACAACAAAAAACAGAACAACGAACGTGCCCCTGTCGATTACCTTCCATTGGGTGGTAGCTAATTTAACCCTAGGCCTGATTGACCTCACGTAGGCATATGCTGCTTCAGGTGTCATGTGTTTGTGTTGCACCTGCATTGCAAAGATATAATCAGAGAGGGAAATCATATCTTAAAGCAAATTGAATTATGGGATTAACTGCAAACACAAACCAAGTAGCATATGACGACAGTTGTGCTGCGGCCCCGACCCGCCTTGCAGTGAACATAAGTCGTCTTCCCAAGGGAAGCATTTCCTTCAACGACATAAAATTAGAATTCACAGCTTCCATATGATACTTAACAATCGCAACAAGTAACAACTAAAAAAAAGAATCAAATGAGAAGGTACACTTACTATGGATAAAATCTACAGCTTGGCATATCGCTTCCATGGAAGGTGCAAAACAATAGTCTCTCGTGGCAATCACCAGGTGGTCAATGCAGTAGGACTTCCATAAGAGTAAGAAAACGAAACGAGGTTAGTAAACAGGAGGAAACCAAAAGACAGGGCACTAGTATAAATCGTAACAATAGCAAGAGTAAGAGACAGTAAAAAGTTACAGACTTTGTAGAGAGATGATGGAACCAAAGTTTCATATGGCTCATTCAGAGTGATCACTCCACAAACACCGAGCTCTTTCAGCAGTGGAACATCAGACTGGAACGGAACAGCTCCCAGTAATATAAACTGGAGAAACAAAATCAACAGAGAGAGAGAGTGATTAGCAAAACACAAAGAACCAAAGCCAAATAACATACTTGGAGAAGTATCTACAGGATACCAACAAAAAACAAACAATCGGAGCTGAAGCAAGCTTTGTAAAGAAAAGTAGCAAACTTTCGATGATCTTGCCAAAACATTATCAGCAGCACAAGAATTCTATTAGATTCTATAGCACATCTCATACCAATGTAAACAATTTCAACTGAATTGACATAAATTAGCTACACGAACAGCTAAAAAAAAAGTTTACCTCCGCAACTCTATCCCACCAATGAAACTCAGCTTCGAGTTTATTCCTAACGACGTTGTAAACAAGAGTTGGATAGAACAACGCACGAGCACCAACACCAACAAGCGCCCTCTTCGTCGTCAACACAATCACGTTTCCACTGCTCACCAATATCGCCTTATCTCCATCAGCGACGCTATCCTCCTCTACCGATCTCTCCCCCTTCTCTTCCTTTTCCGTCAGTTGTTCGATATACATATCCTCAGTCAAAGATCTAGCGATCAAAAACACACACAAAAACAATCTAATTCTCCCAAAACGATAACCCTCTAACCACCAGTCTTTTAATATATACAGAAACGAGTATTCACAATATCGATCTGCTGAACAGAGTGATCATCAAACCAAAATGAAAACCCTAATGGTATTATAGGATTCGCAAACAAAGCCACGAAGAAAGTCTACACGAAATCGAAATCTTGATAAAGTCAAGCGGAAGCGACCGGAGAAAAATTGAATTCAAAATCTTCAGGGAGATCACCACCATATTTCGCCTGAACAAACGATCCGATCAGGCGCCGGTAACGACGAGACGGAGAGGATTCCGAAAGCCGATCAGCGACTAACCGATGGGTAAACCGATCGCCTGTGATCGAAGAGAAAGAAAATTTGAAAGAATCGCGAGGTGAACCCTAAGAACAAGTTTCTGCTTTTTTCAAATTTGGGGATCGAGAATTTGCCTAATCTCTACTCAACCTTGGGTTTCTCTTTAAGAGAGGAGAACCAAAAATAAAATTATATTAAATCTGAGTGTTCTCAGGAGAGTTTTGCTAAACGGACAGCGTTTCACCTGCCACAATAGCGTCAATGAAAATCAATTATACGATGACACGTGGCATTTCGATTTATGGAGAAAGAGTCATGCATCGCACAAGGCCCCGGATAACATTAAGGTTTATCTCTTTCTTTAATTATTAAACAAATCTTTTTGGAAAATAATACTAACAAACAACTTTCGAATAAATTTTAATATCGAAAAAATATTATAAAGACGATTTGATTATTCACAACAACATCTACCGAACAACGGACTGATCCTCAAACACAACCAACCCCCTAATGGTATCACAAAAATTTGTAACACTTATATCGTTACCATGGAATATTTCATCTTATACGATTTTGGATTGTGGCATCTCGTTATTCATAACGTCGAATGCTTAATCTTAATAATGTAAAGAAAATATAATATTTATAACTTTATATGTAAAATAAGTTATAATAAAATGGGCCATATTGCTTATATGATGTACGGGCCTGATGTGTCCAATTAAACCCATTTTTAATTCTGCGTTCGAATCCAAAGTTCTGCTTTCCCAAGCCTTGACATATTTGATGCTCTTTTTGTACACACGCATTAATGTTAACTGTGATTTAATTTGACTAATTAAGGGCACAAATATGCGTTTGCCAAAAAAAATTACACAAACTCACTTTCGAAAAAAATATTAGGTTGAAATCTACCAACCGAGAGTAATCAGAAAAATTAATTGCACATAACAGTCATTCAAATGTTGGTCTTGACTGAATGTTAGTATCTACCAAATGGTGATAACTGATTAGCACTTAGCAGCATAGTATTATAGTCATACCAGAAAAAGCGCTTGACAAATGCATAGATCCATTCATGTATAGTAGTTGGCAAAATAATTTAAATATTTATCTATTTTTCAGGTGTGTAAATTGACCGGATCTAAACGAAAAGTACTTTCCTTAAAACAAATTTTATAACTTAATTACCTCTCTCTCTCTCTCTCTTTTGTTCTAATCCTTAAAAAAAATCCTCTGTTTTTGGTATGTAACGCATTCTCCTATCCTTTCGACACGCCAGTAGATAAGGAGCTTTCATCTGTCTTAAACATATATTGTATGTCTTGTCTCTGAATTTGATATTTCTCACAGTCTTGAGTCTTTAACAAGAGAAAAAAAAAATTCATGGAGAAAGTTGATCACCTTTCCGATGAGAGGAACAAAGCAGAGTTCAACGTCGACGAAATGAAGATCGTCTGGGCCGGTTCTCTCCACGCCTTCCAGGTTTCAAATCGGATCTCCCGCCTCGTCGCCAATGATCCGGTGAGTTTCTCATACCTCTATAATCTTTTTACTCTGTGTTCCGGTGAATCCTAGCGGCTCGTTGTGAAATCTTGCATTTTTTTTTTTTATGTGTTTGACACGTTATATATATATAGGTCTTTGAGAAAAGCAAGAGAGCGACAATGAGTAGAAAAGAGTTGTTCAAGAACACGTTGAGAAAAAGCGTTCATGCTTGGAAGATGATCAACGAGCTTCGTCTCTCTGATGAGGAAGCACTCAGATTGAGGTCTTTCATGGATCAACCGGGATTCGTGGATCTGCATTGGGTAAAACAAAATTTCCATTTTTTTTTTGTATAAGGGCTTAGAGTTTTTGGGTTTGTTTGCTTATTGAATGGTTGTGTGGTCGACAGGGAATGTTTGTGCCTGCAATTAAAGGACAGGGCACAGAGGAACAGCAACGAAAGTGGTTGCCTCTGGCGAATAAGATGCAGATCATCGGATGTTATGCTCAAACTGAGCTTGGTCATGGCTCTAACGTTCAAGGCCTTGAGACAACCGCCACTTTTGATCACCAGACTGATCAGTTTATCATTCACAGTCCAACTCAGACATCATCCAAAGTGAGAAAGAAAACCAAAAAAAAATCAGAACAAGTATCTTTTTTTGATCTCTGAGTGAGTCTTTGTTTTGTTTTGAAACAGTGGTGGCCTGGTGGTTTGGGTAAAGTTTCAACTCATGCTGTAGTTTATGCTCGTCTCATCACCAATGGCAAAGACTATGGTGTCCATGGTAAGCACCAGGACGATTTCTTGTTTTCTTTCTTATTAGATTGCCAAATCTTAATTTCCTCTTCTTATCTTTTCAGGATTCATCGTGCAACTGCGCAGCTTGGATGATCATTCTCCTCTTCCGGGTATAACGGTTGGTGATATCGGGATGAAGTTTGGAAACGGTGCATATAACTCAATGGACAATGGTTTTCTTGTGTTTGATCATTTCCGTATTCCGAGAGATCAAATGCTCATGAGGTCCTCTCTCTCTCTCTTTGGCCTTATGTGAATAAGCATTCATTTTCACCGTGTACTCAGTTTCTGCATTTTATCTTCTTTCAGGCTGTCAAAAGTTACAAGAGAAGGAAAATATGTAGCATCAGATGTTCCAAGGCAACTGGTGTATGGCACTATGGTGTTTGTGAGACAGTCTATTGTGTCAAGTGCTTCCAATGCCATGGCTCGTGCCGTCTGCATAGCTACAAGGTACAGTGCGGTTCGAAGGCAGTTTGGCTCACAGAATGGTGGAACTGAGACACAGGTATACTCTTGCCATTAATAGATAACTATCGGACAAGGGATGCTTCTGGTTATAGAAACCACTTGTTGTTGATGTTGCTGTTATATGTGACAGGTGATTGATTATAAAACTCAGCAGAACAGGCTGTTTCCTCTGCTGGCATCAGCATATGCATTTCGGTTTGTAGGGGAGTGGCTCAAATGGCTATACACTGATGTTACACAAAGACTTGAGGCTAGTGATTTCGCAACATTGCCTGAAGCTCATGCTTGCACTGCCGGATTGAAGTCTATGACTACCTCAGCAACCGCAGTATGTTTTTTTATAGTTGATGTCTTTTTGGATTTATTAAAAAAGAAGTTGAAGATCAGCTTCAAAATGTGTGTTTTTGTTGTTGTTTGTTTGCAGGATGGTATTGAAGAATGTCGTAAGTTATGTGGTGGACATGGCTACTTGTGGTGCAGTGGACTTCCTGAGTTGTTTGCTGTATATGTTCCTGCTTGCACATACGAGGGAGACAATGTTGTGTTGCAGTTACAGGTTGCTAGATTCCTGATGAAGACAGTTTCACAGTTGGGTTCTGGAAAGGTTCCTGCTGGAACAACTGAATATATGGGCAGAGCACAACATCTTTTGCAATGCCGTTCTAAAGTTCAAAAAGGTGAGTTTCTAAGAATCTATTGATAATCTTTTTTCTTGATTTTTGGTTTCTGAGTTATCTTGGTTACGTTGAGGATGCAGCTGAGGATTGGTTAAACCCTGGAATGGTGTTGGAAGCTTTCGAAGCAAGGGCTTTGAGAATGGCTGTTTCTTGTGCTAAAAATCTAAGCAAGTTTGAGAACCAAGAACAAGGCTTCTCTGAGCTTTTGGCTGATCTTGTTGAGGCTGCCATTGCTCATTGCCAGCTGATTGTTGTTTCCAAGTAAGTAACATATCTTCGAATGTTCTAATTACAACAATGAAACGCAATCCTAATTATTTTGAAATTCACAGGTTTATAGCCAAAATAGAGGGAGATATTAAAGGTGAAGGAGTGAAGAATCAGCTGAAGAATCTATGTTACATCTATGCACTCCATCTCCTTCACAAGCACCTCGGTGATTTCCTCAGCACAGACTCAATCACTCCCGAACAAGCTTCACTCGCTAGCCACCAGCTTCGGTCACTCTACTCCCTGGTTCGACCAAACGCGGTCGCTCTTGTGGACGCCTTTGACTACACCGACCACTATCTTGGCTCTGCTTTAGGTCGCTACGATGGAAACGTTTACCCAAAACTGTTCGAGGAAGCATTGAAGGATCCACTCAATGACTCAGTGGTCCCTGACGGCTACGTTGAATACATCCGACCGTTGATTAAGCAAAATATTCGCTCAGCTAGACTCTAACTCCTGAGCCATAAGCATATCAGCTTTTCTTTCTTCTTTTCATGCAGCTAAAAAGGACCACATTATTATGATTATTCGATATTTTTATTCACGCTTTTAACAAATGTTAAATAAAAGGAGTGTTGCACACACACACACAAAAATTCTCTAATTGATAAGGAACAAGATCTCTTGAGTCTTGTGACAGTAATAAAAATGTATCTTTAGACGAAAGTCGCCGTACTAAATAGTGGCTAACGCTGGTAGAATCAAAATGACAATGTAAATGTTACAATGACAAAAAAAAATGCGTCCGACAAGAATCAAGTTCTGTGAACACTTCATATACATTTTCATACACGCGTTTGTAATGGGAGTTTTTTTTTTTTTTTTGAACTTTATGTAATGTTAATATCTAAGCATAAGCATATTGTCTTGATTTCTTTTTAGACGTCAAAAGTCTGATTTTACTCATGTGAGGAGCTTTATGTGTTGCCCTTTGTTTTGCCTTCCCAATCCATAAAAGTTTCCAAACGATTTAAATTATTGATGGAGCAATTAATAACCGAATTAGGTAGTTGAATAAATATAAAATTATTGTATAAGTACACCCCTTTTGGTTGTGAAATTGTATTTAATCAACTGATGTCTTCTATCCACATATCCTCCAACATTAAAATATAGTAATAAACTAATATGCATTCATATTAATTTCATTTTTCAAAAATGTTAGTTGGTTAGTACGTAGTAGTGAAAGTAGTTACGACGACACCATAATTAAAATTAGTTTTGACAGCATATGTCTTTTAATCTTGTTTAACCAAAGATAAAAACGAAGTTTGACTTGACTCTTTTCGATATATGCATATATACACATACATGCATACACATGTGACATCTATATATGCATGTACGATTGTACGTACGAATATCGCGTATGGATGTATATATGTATATAAGTACGAAGCCAATGAGATTCTAAAGTTGGCATTGTGTACTTTGTACTTTGTAGTATACAATTATCGTCAATTGGCTTTAATTGTTTGTAACATCTTATGTACCTTGTAAAAACGTGTGCCTATGCGGCTATCAGGCTAAGATGTTCCTTATACGTGTGTCTATTTATATATCAATGTTGAAGTCAAAATTTTCACTAATTTTTGAATTCGCAATCGCAAATTTGCAAACTTAATTAACTCACTAGACATCTTATGTATTGTTCAAAACAAAAAAAACAAAAACTCACTAAACATTTTTTTTTGTTTATACTAGATATGTACAACGGCTACTCAAGATTGAAAACCTTTTGTCAACATTTTTCCGTGGTAGGTCCGTAAATGAAAGTAGATAAACATTAGGCCTATAATTATTATCGATGCTCCTTGTTTGTTTCTCGTTGTGGATCAACTGTAATCGTCTACATTTTTCAACCCCTATTGTTAATGCTTATTTATTCGTTAGAACACCTCAATGTTTCTTAAGCTATGTATTCACTATAATATTCACCATCATTGCATAAAATATGGCTTACTGTAGAAACTCGACAAAGTCGGATATAATAGTACTATATAGTAGTATACCCCAAATATGAATGCTTTATTTGCTTTTTCGATGAAAACCTTTTAACATTGAGTGAATCATCAATTTGACACATAAAAAAAAAAGAAGAAAGAAACAAATTGACACACAAAACGAGGCAAAACGTATAATTTTAAAAAATCCATTAATTTGGTACCCAATAAATATCAAACACGGAGCCGTGGGGATGGATAAATTGGATAATCATTTCTTAAATGGGAATCACCAAAAAAATGATGGCCAAAATCATCCTTGATCAAGAACTATTGTTGAATGTTGAACATAAGTATATACCATTATCTCTAATCATACTGTCATCTTAATACCGTAGTCTCTTAACTACCGCTGTTTCATTTCATTATCTTTTATCACTAAAAACCTTTTTATCACACATCTAGAGAGAGTTCTAATAGCTTAAAAACTCAAATGGATATATATAACATGTAATTGAATACGTATACATATATTTTAAGCATAGCTTACAAAAACGAATTATGCTTCCTACTTTGGATGTTTATAATATTGTATTGAATACGTATACATATATTTTAGGTATAGCCTACAAAAAATAAAATCTGCTTCCTACTTTGTATGTATATAATAACAACCACACCGACCTATTCTTCTCAAACCTCATTTCTACTCTCACACTCGAGCAAACAAATAAAAAAAAAAAAAAGCAAATTTTATTTTTTCCCTTCTCTACAAAAAACTTGTTACAAATTAACTCTCTCATTACATTAATGGTTCGCTCATCTCCTACGGCATCACACCCTGACGATTCCCGGAGGTTTCAGGATCCACCGGCGCAGGCGACGGAGAGAACACTGAGTAACAATCTGAAGAAGAAAAGAGTCAAAGATGACGATGATGATAAGGTTGTTTCAAAGCATCCAACGTTTCGAGGTGTGAGAATGCGACAATGGGGAAAATGGGTGTCCGAAATCAGAGAGCCAAAGAAGAAATCAAGAATCTGGCTCGGCACCTTCTCCACGGCGGAGATGGCGGCGCGTGCTCACGACGTTGCGGCTTTAGCTATAAAAGGCGGCTCTGCACACCTCAACTTCCCGGAGCTAGCTTACCAACTCCCTAGACCAGCTAGCGCCGATCCTAAAGACATCCAAGCCGCCGCCGCCGCTGCTGCAGCCGTAGTAGCGATTGATATGGAGGTAGAGACGTCGTCGCCGTCTCCCGCAAGCACGGAACATTCGTCTCCGGCTATGACCGCAATCGCAGACGACGCGTTCTCTGATCTCCCAGACCTTTTGCTGGACGTGAACCACAAAATCGACGGCTTTTGGGACTCCTTTCCTTACGAAGAACCCTTCTTCTCTCAAAGCTACTAGGATCCAAGACGGTGTCGTTTTGTACGTATTTTTTTTTGTCATGTGAAAACTTTTTGACGTTATAAAATCACGGGTTTCATCCAAATGTGTTATGATTTCATCCACGGTTTATGATCGATTTTTGGTTCGTGTTTTTTTTTTGTTACCTAATCTATTTAAGTGGGAAAATGTGTGAGTATATGTAAAAAGTTTTTTTGTTTGTGTAAAAATATGAACGTCAGTGACAATTGACAAAGTCCTATGTTTGTTTGTAGCCCTGTTGTTTCCCACAACTGTAGATTTTCCCCTACAGGTTTTCAGATTCATGTTTCTGACCCCTAAATTTACTTTTAGGTCTGACATAAACCTTTTTTCTCCTATATAGCTGGCATGGAGTAGATATTTATAACATTAATGATTAAAGTATGTAATCAGGGAGAAATCACTTTGTAATACTGATTAAGCTGGACCGTGTTTTTGCCTTTTTAAAGTTTTAAGAAATGGGATTAGGTTTTTGAATTTGAGAAAATGTAGCAGTCGAAGATCAAATGAAATGAAAATACAAAAGGGTGAAATACTACGAAAGACAAAATTTTGCTATCTTTTCTATTGAACTTTTTTTTTTTCTTCTTCCCTGTCGTTTTCTAAATTTCTAATTAATTCGCTATTCTCCTTTTTGCCGTGAGCTTATTGGTCCTTATAAAGTTTGGAAATGAGATGACCCATTGGCCCATTTTTATTTAATGCGTGTGATGTATTTAATGTCCTTTTTGTTGGGACTGATTTTCATTGAAATGCTATATTTTTTTTTTGTTTCTATTAGGTCCTCTTTTTTCTTCTTGGTAACAAGAGGATTTCAGAGTAAAATCCGATTAATATTCTGAGAAATGTGAAAGAACATGATATTTCTATTAATTATACATGTATCATAAACAACCGTGATTGTAATCATATTGGAACTAAGTATGTTCTTTCAATCAACATGATGTATTCTTCAATCTAACCATCATATTAATCATAGTAAAAACAAAGAGAACAACATTTCGTAATAGATATTTTCACATATATATATGTCAAAAACTTAATCAAAAAGTTGCTATAATATTCATTATAGACAATTATATATATTTCAAAAAAATTGCAATGCAATATTTTGAAAATTATGCTATTTAAAAAATACAATAATTAAAAATCGTTGTGTTTCTTAAATTTTCCATACACATGGAGTTCGGACATGTAAAAGCTATATAATGGAACAGTAAACATGTAATTAGAAAAGTTCTAAGCAAATGTTGAAAACTGAATTATTAAATATTTAAATTGCAATTTAACAAATCTCAACAAAAAAGTATATTATTCACCCCCACAACGAACAATAACATATATATATATATATATACTAATTATTAGATTATTAATAAAATAGTAAATGTAACAAATCGTTGGCGGCAGGCGTAAAATACAACAAATATGGAATAAAGAACCAAACCTCAATAATTTACTAAAAAACTGTTGCCATTACTCGACAATGATGTTGATTTCGCTATGTGATGTCGATGCAACATACGGCTCACATCCAAACACAAAGGCAGCACGTACACGTACCCCTATAACAGGCCCTATATGTTCTATGGGTAGTAAATAAGAAAGTACTAGTATTTGCTGTTTTCGGATATTTGAACTAATGTAAACTAGAGAAATTTAAGAACGCATATTAGGCACGTTTAAACTATAATATTTTAATGAATCTAGAACTTCTGTTCGAAGCTACATGAGCCATAAACACATTTCAAAATATGAATATCAAATCATATGCATGGTAACAACAAGTTATGTTCAAAAAAAAAAAACAACAAGTTGAGTTGTATATTTATTTTTTATAGCAAAAAGACAACTCAACTTTTGCTCTTGGCAATAAAATCATGATAACAACTTTCTTTATTATATTTGAAATACTAAATATTTTTTCTTACGATATATATATATATATATATATCAAAATAATCTTTGATCTAAATTATTTCAGATTAATGTTATCAAGCTTTAAATTTTCTTTTAATAAATCGTAAAATAAGATATATATGTCACAAATCAAATTGAAACCATGATGGACGAACAGTACCTTAAGAGTAGGACGAGTTATAATTTCATTAAAGAAAAGTTATTTAGCTATATGTGTTTGGAAAACAGATTTGACTAAACATATTGATGTGATATATCCAACGATGACATATAGCTGAAGAATCCTAGGTGAACTAGATGTCTAGATCCTTATATTCCATTTTCCAAAACTCTATTTTTTTCTTTAATTCCATTTTGACCTACTGGCTGATTATTCAGAGTCGTCTGGAGTTCGACTCTACCTGTCCAT